CAATCCTACTTCCGTAGTGATACTGCCTCGGAAACCCAAGGAGGGGTCGCTATGAGTCGGGGCCAACTCGACGGCACATAACAACAACAACAACAGCAACAGTATATATCTTTAACAAGTATTTTCAATTTCTTTGTCTTATTTTCATACTTTTAAAAATGGCTTAATATTTCTAAGTTATGTGAGTATTCTCAAATTACTCATAAAAATAATTTTGAGACTTTAGCCCCAAAATTCAGAGACCTGTGTCACATAATGTTGTGAATGTATAGTACAGTTTGCCCCTTGCAGTACCCCTGCATTGCTGTATGAAGAATTTACGCCGTCCTGTACCCCCTACATTGCTATATGAGGAATTTGAGCAGCTTAGTAAACAAAACCTGGTCAGGAGTGATGATAGAAAATACTCTGCTGTCAGGGATGCTGTGTTTTCAGGGTTTGAAACTGTGAGCAGTAATGGAAATTGGTATTTTTTTATTTTCTCTTACTTGCTACTCAGGAAAGTAGATTGGTGAAAGAGGAAGACCTGCGAAAAGAAGAAGTCCAGACGCTACAAGCTGAACTCACTTGCAGACAAACAGAAGTTAAAATGCTGAGTACCCAGGTAGAAGAACTGAAAGATGAATTAGTAACTCAAAGACGTAAACATGCTTCTGGTATCAAAGATCTCACCAAGCAACTTCAGCAAGGTATCACATTCTTCCATACTTCAACCAGGAGTGTTTCGTTTCTTTTAATTAAAGATTTTATAGAAGAAAAAATGTATTTTCCCTTCAGATTCTACTATATTATGATTGAACACATATGTTCTTTTTAATGCATTAATGTTCATAAACCAAATTGCTAAATTTCTTGCACTTCCATGAATAGTCGTATCTTTTATGCTAAAGGCCATTTATTCATTCACAAAACACCAAATGTGAGAACCGGAAAGTACTTTAGACTAATAGTCTCTAAACTCTTTTGATTCCATAGTCTTGTCAATTAAATTGAGCATTTGTTCCCCTATTTATATATATTTATTATGAATTGTAAACATACACTATTCAATGTTATGTACATTAGAAAATACACATAAAAAGACACTGAAAGGGGAAGACTAAATGTAAGTTCTTATGTTTTCTTCCTGCACATCCCAGTAAATTATGCGGCTTCAATGGTCCCTACACCCCACTTTGGAGACCACTCGGAAATCATTACCTAACCCTCCATTTTATAGAAAATAGACCCAGAAAGGTTCACAACTAACAGCTAGAACTAGAACCCAGGTTTCTTTTATTGAAAAATTCATATGATGAGGTATCTATCTATGTATGCTAAGTGCTTAGGATACAAAGGTAAGTAAGACATGTGTTCTAAGTTTCTGCTCTTCTCTACTGTTCCCCCACTCCTTTATGATGTCAGAACAGAGTGAAATGGAGTAGTAACATCAAAGAAATGTAGGACTTCCATAGAATGAATCTATTCAGATGTTTATATCACACACTTTGTTGTTATTTACATAATTGAAGAGACACTTTGGGGAATTAAAGGGTTTTCTGAAACTGTAGGGTCTTAACAATCTTCTAGGACTCACTAGTAACTTGAACTCCAAAAGTTCAGCCCAGCATGCCTAATAAGGTCAGTGTCAGTTGTGGGCTTGTTGTTTTCATATATTTGGTATTTGACCTGTGCATTTTCAGATGTCATTTTATATGAATGCCACTTACAGCCCTCCCATCAAAGTATGTCTTTAAGAACTTTCCCTTATTGTCTGTGACATTTTTGCCTAACTGATTTTAGCAGTTAAAGTGAGATGGTCGGAGCAGATTGTCATAAAAATTGTCACCAGTAATCCACTTATTTTTCCCATAGCTCGAAGAAAATTAGAGCAGGTTGAAAATGGAAGCTATGATAAAGAAGTCAGCAGTATGGGAAGTCGTTCCAGTTCATCAGGTAAAAAAGAATGGTTTTAGTTGTTATTTAGTGATTGATTATTAAAATTGCATTTTTTTGGTTGTTTTAAAAAATTACTGATAGGCTCTTGTTCTACTTTAAATTATAAAAAGTACTAATTATACATATGCCTAATATTATAAAAATGTTCCAATCAAATACTTACTCATTCTCATCCTTACCCACTGTTCCATGTTTGTCATGGGATTTTGTGTCATCTGTCTACCTTGTTAATTACTTGCATCTTTATTCTGTCCCAGAAGTTCTTTGTTCTGTCTTCTGTTTTCTAAATTCAGATTTGTATCCGTCCATCTAGAGAGGTTTGGTATAGGGTAAGCTCTCTCTTTTTATTTCATAGTACTTTTAACACCTGAGAACTAATGAAATGGGCATCGTTAAGTATTGTATTAATAATATGTATGTATGTATGTGTGTTTAATCTTTTATCTTTATTATTCTCATGATATATATGCCTGTGGTCTAAAACAAGCTTTAAAATGAGTGGAGCCTATAAAAGTATAAATGATACCATTGTGAAACTAAGCATTAGCAAAATGTCAGTGTACTCTTAAATCTGTTTTGTTTCTAGTGGTATTGAATAATGTTAATCATTCTGTAATGCCAGGAGCCAGGCTAAGCACTTTTTAAACATAACATTAAATTATTCTTCAGAAAAACCATGTGAAGGAGGTCCTCGTTAAATTCCCATTTTACAGATGAGGAAACCAAAGTTCAGAGTGGTTATGTGACTTGCCCAAAATTCACAGTGATAGAACTCAAGAATCCTTGCATGTTACTGTATCACTAAACAAAAAAAGCTAACTCTAAGCCGTTGAGTCGATTCTGACTCACAGTAACCCTGTAGGGCTGCCCCATAGGTTTCCAAGGCTGTAATCTATATGGGAGCAGACTACCACATCTTTTTTACATGGTAAGTAAGATTGGAGGGTTTGAACTGCTGACCTGTTGGTTGGCAGTCAAGTGTTTAACCACTGTACCACCAGGGCTCCTTCCATACTACATTACTCCCAGAAAGTGCACGTTAGCGGGGAAGAATTGTGTTACAGTAGTGGAAGAATTTTATGGTGGAAAGAACACAGACTTAAAATTACAGATATGAAGTTAGATACCAGCTCTGTCATTATTGTATAACCTTGGATAAGATTTATTACTTCTCTTAAATCTACAAAATGGGGTTGGAAAAAACATATTTTTGCAGGGTAGAGAGGATCAGAAATTCTCATTGATGTTAATAAAAACAATAGCTAATGCTTACATTAACTCATTTAAATGATGCTAAAAATCCTGTAGGGTAAGTGATATTATTTTTCCCATTTTAAGATAAAGTAACCAAGGTATCGAGGGTTAAATAACTTGTTCAAAGTCACACAGCTAGTAAGTGGAGGAGCCAAGGGGATATGAACCTACACAAGGCTGGCTCTGGAGGTTAATCACATGATGTTCTCTTATTTCTCTTAACGGTTTAATTTTGGGCTAACTTCAGACATACTGTTCTGACTTTGTCTTGAGTTTCTTGTTTCTCTGTTCCCATTTCCTCATCCTGTTTCTGAATGTCATAGACCTTTTTGGTACGTCTGTCATCAGTGTATTCAGGAACAAGAACTCAGGCCAGGTATGACCTGCGTTGGGTTCTGTACCCAACTCTGTTAGACTGGTTGTTTGAACATGGCGATGAAATACATAATACTTATGAGATGAGAAATGACTCTAGAGTAAGTACAATATCTGAACTCACTTTTGTGTCTGTCTTTGTGTGTGTATCTTTAGGGTCCCTTAATGCTCGAAGCAGTGTAGAAGATCGATCGCCAGAAAACACCGGTTCTTCAGTAACCGTGGATAATTTTCCAGAAGTAGACAAGGCCATGTTGATTGAGAGGATAGTAAGGCTACAAAAAGCACATGCCCGGAAAAATGAAAAGATAGAATTTATGGAGGACCACATAAAACAACTGGTAGAAGAAATTAGGAAAAAAACAAAGTATGTATTATTATGGTAGTGTAATGTGTGTTCAGAATACCGTTACTCGTAAGATAGTTACTATTTTCAAAATTAATCATATTAAATGCTTACCTTTCAAAAAATAATTCTTAATTATATTCATTCTGTTCCCAATCTTTTACTAATCCCCTATCATGTTCTTGGTTTTGGGAATATAGAGGTAGATAAAACCAGGTCTTCCTTTAAGTTTTTTAAGACACCAAAATAATTTTGGTGTCTTAAAAAAGATAGTGGTCTGCTTTCCTTGGTTTATGACTGTGGCTGTGAGAGGTATAAGTGATAGGGAGCTCTGGTAGCGTAGTGCCTAAGGCACTTGACTGCTAACCAGAAGGCTGGAGGTTCAAATCCACCAGCTACTCTTTGGAAGGAAGTTTGGGCAATCTACTATCCCTAGTGATACTGACTTGGAAACCCTAGGAGAGGTCACTGTGAGTCGGGTCCAATTGATGGCAAATAACAACAACAACGACAACTAAGGTCAAGGCGCTGGGCTTTGTGATTAGCACTATGCATTGAATGCTTACAAATACTCCACAGAGAGTGAGGTCACCGGTTCTGCAGGTAAGTTAACTGGACTCAAGTCGAGTAACCAGGTTACTACTACTTCTGTAAGTGACAGACTGACTCCCGAGCCCATGTTGTGCCAACTTCCTTTCCCAGATTTATCTAAGTAAAATGTTACTGTGTTTATCTAAGTAAGAGTTGTCTTTATATTGCGAGTCTTTATAACTTTTAAATTTTTATTTTGAAATATTTTTAGACTTACAGAAAAGTTTACTCAGTTTTAAAAGAAAAAGAATAGAACGCAGTTCTAAGTTTAAGAAAATGTTGCTTGAAATCTGAGCAATAAAGAAAATGCTCAGTTTGATCAAAATAATAAGGAAAGAAAGAAAAAAATGGTGTTTATATATGTTTAATCTAAATGCCTTGTTAAAACAAAAATGGAATTGTTGAAGAAACCCTCTGAATAAGGAAAATCCCTTTATTTTCTTATATAGCTCTTTATGCTTATCATCAGTTGACTCTTAGAAAATCCAGTATGTTTAATTCCACAAGTACATAATTGATAATGTTATTTTGTTTTGCAGAATCATCCAGAGTTACATTTTACGGGAAGAATCAGGCACACTTTCTTCAGAGGCATCTGACTTTAACAAAGTCCATTTAAGTAGACGGGGTGGCATCATGGCCTCTTTATACACATCCCATCCAGCTGATAGCGGATTAACACTGGAACTCTCTTTGGAGATCAACCGAAAATTACAGGCTGTCTTGGAGGACACGTTACTAAAAAATATTACTTTGAAGGTATTTGTGTTCTTCATTCACTTACCAACAATGAACGTGGCAACGTGGTGCCTCTTTCATGGTCTGATTTAGCACATAAACCTGTTCCTGTAATGTAAGGTAGCCATTTTATTCAGATAAATTTTAGTGTGTTCCTCTTTTTGAAAAGTGTAGTTTTTAAAAGTAGGGAGGAAGGATAATGAAATAAAGAAAAGTCACTTTAGTTATTGAATAGACATTAAAATGAGTTGTTTACTTTGTTGTAGGTTAGTTTCAAAAAGAACCTGAGATTAACATAACAGGCAGATTCTGAAATAAAACTAGTTGTAAGTAAATTGTTGCAACATATATATATATTTTTAATATTGAGGTATTTATTTTCTAACATATTTCCCAGCTTTATTTTATTTTTTATAGCTGTTACCTGACCCAGCTATTTTATTTTGCTATGTGGGCCTTGGTAGGTAATGATGGATTTTAAAAATTAAAACTCTAGTAAATAATAATTTTACAGACTAAAAATATCTATGACTTCAGTGAAAATTTAAGTACACTTCTGAAATGGACAGGACTACTTCATGGAATAGCTCTGTGCCCAGTTTGTCTCCCGTAGTACTTAAAAGGAATTGTAACTTTGAGTTTCAAAGGTATTTCTAACTGATCTTTTAAAAAAAATTATTACACTTAGTAGTTCTATTTTATCTTCCCCCTTTTTGCCAATTTTAAAAGGAAAACCTGCAAACACTTGGAACAGAAATAGAACGTCTTATTAAACACCAGCATGAACTGGAACAGGGGACGAGGAAAACTTAACACAAAGCACTTCTCGGCAGACAGACAAAAACTGCACAGGAAGCAGGTGCCGCTGACCAGTGTTGTTGGGAACTTTTCTGCTCTGTGTGTCCGCCAGTAAATAAACATGTTTTGCTTCACCTGTACAAAAAGTATTCTTTTATAATATGAATGCATTGCTGTATATACTGTAAGAGTGTAGGCTTTGATGAAATTTGTTTTTGTATGGTACAGTACAAGAGCCTGTTATTAAATCAAAATAATTAAATTTGCTGGTAGTCACATGAAGTGCTGAACAAGGGCTTTCAAAAACCCCACCTCTGTATTTCTTAACAATATATCATGTCAGAATGACTCTGCTTTTAAAATTATGCATGAAAAACAGCCAGTTAACCAGTCAGTCAGCAAGATGCTATTTCTCCAACATCAAGAGAACTAAAGTGATAAAAATGAAATTTCTGAAATTCCGTTTTCAACATTTGATTGTTTCAGGGATCATAGTAATACTTACACCTTTTTGTTTTACTTTCAACTTTTCTGGAGCTCTGGTAGCATAGTGGCTAAGTCACTTGCCTGTAACCAGACGGCTGGCGGTTCAAACCCACCAGCCACTCCTCGGAAGGAAGGTTGGGCAATCCTACTTCCGTAGTGATACTGCCTCGAAAACCCAAGGAGGGGTCGCTATGAGTCGGGGCTGACTCGACGGCACATAACAACAACAACAACAACAACTTTTCTTGTTAATTTTAACGAGAGCAAAACTTCATAGCAAAGCCTGGTGACTTGCAGTGACCCGGCAGCCTTGGGCCTCTGCCGAGTATGTGTGTTCAGTACATTTTTTCTCATGGTTCTGATTCATAGTTTAAAACATTTTTTCAGGTTTGAATTGTTTGGTTAATAGTGGAATTTTTTAAATCTTTAGTTACATAAAATATGATTTAAAATAACATGTTAATTTATAAAATTCTTGTGGACTTCAGTTATATTTTAAAATGTGGAATGATTTAATCATTAGAAGAGAGATGAATAGGGAAGTCTTTGAAACTGAAATAATTTGGTTTTATTGACAATAAGTATAAAGATAAATAGGTTTAAAAGATTTATGAAGAAACCAATTCTCAGAAGAAACCAACATATGAGACTGTTAACCATTCCATTTGAACATCATTCTTTAGTGTTGGTATAATAAACTCATTGCCGTCGAGTTGGACCCGACTCATAGAGACCCTTCCTTGAGTTTCCGAGGTGGTATCTCTATGGAAGTAGATTGCCCAGTCTTCCTTCCGAGGAGTGGCTGGTGGATTTGAACCGCCAGCCTTCTGGTTAGCAGTCAGTTCTTGAAATGAGATACATTCTGCTATTTCTATTTGAAACACAAAATACCTAACACCTCTATAACCAAAGGAATTTTAGAGCTAAATTTGTGTATCCTGCTGGGTTTTATTAAAGGTGCTCTGGTGGTATAGTAGTTAAGCCACATGGTTGTTAACCAAAAGGTGAGTGGCCCGAACCCCTCGGCCACTTTGTGGGAGAAAGATGAGTCAGTCTGCTTCCATAAAGACTTACAGTCTTGGAAACCCAGTGAGGGTTGCTATGAGTCACAATTGACTCAAAGGCAGTGTGTTTGGTTTGGTTTTTCCTTGGATTTTGACAATATTTGTTTGGATGTGCACTTAAATGTTGCCAGACATAGTATCAATATTTCTTTCACTGAATTTTTTTCACCTCTTGTAATTTGTAATTTCTGTAATTTCACTGTAATTTCTGTGTGTGATTTTTCACACTTCATTGTATTCAGCTCATTTCTGTAGTAGAATACCTTGGCCTGTGCACAGATCGTGTAACAGTCCTCATTTTTGTTTTGGATTTTTGCATTCTTTTTCCTACCCTTCAGAAAAGTAAGATTTGGGGTGACAGATTAAAAGTCTTTAAAGAAGTGTATGTACTCTTAAAAGTCAGGCTCATGGGGGCAATGTCCCTTTAAGTGTTTTAGCTTTTTTTCCCCCCACTTATTTATCAACTTAACATTGTTTTAAAAGATAATGTATTTACTGAGGATTAGATGAGCTGATGTAGTATCTTATTTTTTTTCTATGTATTGGGTTTTATGTTGTCATACAAAAAAAATCATTTTTTCACTTTAGGATGGAAATACAGGTTCAAAGAAGTTTTATTTTTTGAATAGTTGAAAAGTATTAGTTTTACCATAATCTTAAAAAAAAAAAAAAAACCACAGTAATAACTTATCGAAATAAAGAAGAAAGCGTGTGCAATCAGACCCGAGTTAGCTTCCCATTTGTTTCTAGACACTGTTGACACTCCTAATGACTACTTGGAGTAGCCAGCATAACTGAATTTTTCTGGCTTCTCATGGTGTATGGATTCATAAGCTATACTATTTGTTGGTTTATTTTTTTCTCCGAAATGCTTATGTAATGGCGACCAAGAAGTTGTCAGAGTCATAGTGTCCTTTGTACATTTTTCAAAATACATACCGAATAGACAAAAATAAAATACCCAGTATTAAGATTTGCTCCACCATCCACTTGGAGAGGTTGAAGATAACACGATTTTAGAAGAAAGCCATTGTAAACCATATCTGACTGTATTATTACTTTCTTCCATCAGTGTAAGGAACTGTGGAAAGCTCTTGAAGAAAATACATCTTTTATTCTTCAGTATCTGCTGTATTGTTTTGTATATGGAACAAGCAGGACTAAGCAAAATAATGTACTGGAAGGAATGTGTATATCAGCAATATCTCTACTAACCTACCAACAGCTCCTGAAACAAGGATTTCAGTGACCTCCTCCCTCCTACTGTGTTGAGGGTATGAAGACATGGAGGGGATACCTGGGAAAGGAAGATGGCCTGGATGCTGATATGTGGAGAGGACTTCTTTTATATGTTCACTGTGGTTTATTGTGCACATCAAAGACTGCTTGGTTAGGGAACAATATTTTGGTTCCTTTGGGCAGGAAATGATTGTGTGTGTGTGTGTGTGTGTGTGTGTGTACTCTTCACTAGGTTTTAATTGTAAAGTGAACTGTTCTGTGATTCCCCTTTTTCCCATACCACTTCAAACTGTAGCCTGCTATGTTTTAAGGATTCAAAATGGTATACTTGGAATGAGTTTGAAATTTTAAAAAATTTTATTTTAACTTTTTGTCTTCATAACCATTTAAAGCCATTTTTTGATGGGACTGCTTTTCTGATCCCTAATTTTGTGTAAGGTGGAACATGAGTACATCTACAGGCCCATTGAGCGCACGGGATCCTAAATGCATAGTATCTTTTAAACTAGCATGTTAACCATTTAACAAAATCCATTAAATAGCTTGCCTCTATAGAAATCTTTCTAATCAAAATTGGCTTGAAATCAAATTTTATCAGGCTGCCGACATACTACGTATTCATTTATCAATCGCTGCTCTAGCCAGGCACATGCAGGGTATAGTGATTGTTGGTGAGCAGATCAGACAGGGGTGTTGCTATGCCAGTGGAGTTTAGGATCTACTGTAATACTTGGGAGGCAGTAGGTCTGTGGGCCTCACAGCTCATAGCAGCCTCTTGTAACTAGACTGGAAAGAGGGATGACCTACTTGTGCAAGTAGACGACCCGGAAATCCCACTCGGGCGTGACTCGGGACACGAATCCTTGCTGGGGTACAGCAGAGCAGACTGCTGTTTTCACTGTGGTTCTGCACATTTCTGAACTTCCTTCAGTTTGATATTTATGAATTCTTTAAGAAGGAAGAAAAAAATCCAAAGACCATAAAATAGCATTTTGTAAATTACTGCCTGCTTTTGATGCTCATGAAGATGAGTCTAATCATATCGTGTGCATGTTTCTAAACTTTATTGTGAAGCATATCATTTTCTAAAGATTTTTAAATGTACATTTAGACCAAGATTTACCAGTAGGAGGGAAAAAACTCAGAAACCATTGATACTGTAAATGTTATATATGCTACCGTGATGATATTTTTATATAAATCATGTTATTCAGTATGATTAATTTTGCCTAATGAATGTATGAATTTTTCAAAAAACTTCTTTTTCCTAAAACAATTCTTTTTTGACACTAAGATTATTGATTTTTAACTAACACCAGTTGGTGGCACTAGAAACCTGAAATTTCTCAAAGCAGAACAAGAGAACTAATTACAAAAGAGTCCAAATATGAAAAATTGTCAGAAAAATTACAGTGAGAGACAGTTGTATATTCAAGATGTATTTTTCTTCTGGATTGGAATTACTTTTAGAAGAAGCATATAGCTGTCCATTTTGACTCTGGTGATGAAACTTGTTTATCTCCCAAAAGTTCATATGTGTATGTGTGTGTGTATATATACACACACACACATACATATATATATATATATGTATATATATATGTGCATTGTACAATCTTTAGTTTGATTACACTATTCATTTTGTAAATTTCTGTATAAAATGAAGCTTTTCAAGAGAACTGTGTGTACATACTGGACTTACTAATGGGTAATGCTTGTTGGACCGAGCTGTAATCTGTGGCATCTCTGATGATCTGAGGACATACACTACTTGCCAAGCAGACTGATTTTCCAGGCTGTTGGTGAGACTCATTCCAATTTGTTTAATTTCTTTTATAAACTAGACTGGAAATTTCTGCTTTCCATATATATTTCTGCCCCCCCCCCATTATGAATTAGAAATCAAAGAAAAATAGTAAGCAGACTTAGTTGAATGGCAGGTTGTATTTTAAATTTTTATTTAAATTATCGATAGCAAAACTTGGCTTTAGGTATATAAGCATGTGAAAATTTCTTAATGAACTTGATGAGTCAGTGATGTATTTGGATATGAATACTGAAATATTTTCCAAGAAACTATGGAATTGTCTAAATTATCTAGCCTTAATGATAAAGAACTAACATGCTGAATAAACAATGAGATGGTATTAATTTCAGCAAGTCACTCTGTGTCACGGCTGTTTCCTGTCACGAGGTGTCTTCTACTTCTGCAGCAGCTCTGGGCACTTACAGTGTGCCCCAGGCCTTGCAGAGTTCACTGCTGGAGAGGACTCTTGGAAGGCCGGATCTGTGGAATAAAGACAGAATTACTAGTCGCAGAAGCCTTCCTGACAGCCTGCAGTATCGTAGGGTTTGTCTGCAAGAGAAGGGAGAGTGCAGGGGTGGTGGTTGTTGTGTGTTGTCAAATTGGACCCAACTCATAGCAACCCCTCCTTGGGTTTCTGAGGCAGTATCACTACGGAAGTAGATTGCCCAACTTTCTTTCCGAGGAGTGGTTGTGGGTTTGAACTG